TTATTTAAAAAATTTTGTGAAATTTAATTTAAAATTTATTTGAATTTATTTTAATGTTTATTTTTAATAAAATTTTGTAAAAATTGATGTCGACTTCTAAAAACCTTATTGTCTTAAACTGGGTAATTATTAATATGCAATGTTTCCAGAAATCGAAGATACTTTAATGAAAAACTTTAAACGCATTTTACTCGAAAAATTCATTTTGGTCATAAGCACCGTTTTCTCAGATCGCTTAATTAAAAACATTTTGAGAAAATTATTTTTTTAAGATAATTTCGTTACTTTTCACGTTTTAAAAGACAATTTTTTGAAATAATAGAATAGAGCTATTCGTACTGATTTTTTTAAGCAATATTTTATATTTTTTCTCAAAATCAATATTGCTTTATTTTTTTTATTTATTTTTATAATATTCTTAATATTTATTACTATAATAATATTATCAATATTGATAAAATATATATAGGTAAGTAAAATTGACAGTCGATATTTTAAATTCAAGTAGATTTTTTTTTCTTATCCCATAATATGTATAAAAATAAGACACGTATTTTGCTTCTTCATAGAAGCATTGATTTACTGAGCATTTTCAAACTCAATATTTTCACTTTTCTTTATGTTTCCTGACCTCAGGAACTCAAAAATCATATTTTAAAAAAATGACATTCAGTGTGTGGTGTATGTAAACATCACTTTTTCATAAATATCTCGAGGTGTATTATATCTAAAAGGATAATTTTTTTTTCCAAATTATTGTTGATATCATTAACGGGCATATAATCAGTGATCTTTGAACTTTATTAAAAAAATATTAATATGGTCTAGAAAATTTTAAGACAAATAATTATCATGACTAGCTATTTTATTATTTCAAATAATTGTTCTAAACTACAAATTTAAGTGCAATATAGACTTCATATAAAAGATAAAATAATTCTCATTTGTAACTTAGTGTTTATCTTCCACAATGTTAATTACAAGGTGCTTAAATTTACAAAATGAAATTATAACAATAATAATTGTTGATTTCATTTTTTATTTTGTTAATAATTATATAAACAACTTAATAATCAAAATAATATGAAGGATTAACCAAACAGAAATAAACAATAATCGTGCGACACATTGACCTCAGATGTGACGCATTCGCGTAAATGCAAAGTATGTGCGCTGTAGGACAGAAAATTCGATATTTCGTTTAGTTTTAAAATCTCCATCAATTTTTTTTGCAAAAAATTCAGGAGAAGATAAAAAATTCAAATATCATAGTTACAAAAAATCGAAGGGGTGCTATGCTTAAAAAAATGACATCAAATTTTTTTTGTTTTTTTTATAATTGTTTAATTTTAATAGAACTATTAAAATTGTTGATATAACAGTTATTAGTTACATAAATATGAACAAAATCGATTAAATCATCTCAGTTATTTTTTTTTTTAAAAATTACTTTACACTTTAATGCCTTGTAAAATTCCAAATTTTGAAAATTTAAAAATAATTTTGCTTCCTGTCATAGGAAGCTTTATGCAGATGTCGATTTTCGTTTTTCTTAGAATCAATTATTTTTTACAAATTTTCATGTGTAGTATATGTATTTCGTCAAGAGGAACAAATGTTTGTATTAATGTGTGTGTATGTATGTCACCAATTCTTGTGGTCAAATTTTCTCTTACATGTTTTGATGGATTTTGATAAAATTTGGTAGATGTATTACGGTGACGAATACCTTAAATCAGACAAAAGGATTTTCAAAAATATCTAAAAAAAATATTTTAAACAATTTTTTAATTTTTTGTTTACCTTTTTTTTTAATAAAATTTTAATTAATTATTGTCAAAATTGTATTCCTGTCATAAAAACGAATAGATTCATATATAGGTATATAAAGGTTATATTTTATCAATATTTATAAAATAAATCAATATTTCCATTTTTCCCAAAAAATTTAAATTTCGTATTTTTTGAAATTTTATCTTAACACTTTAAAATAATTATTCTATAATAAAATATTAAACAATTCGTATATATATTATATTGAGGTAGCTAAATGGCCATGAAATGAACAACATGTTTTTTCTCTATTCTGCTCTTACACAATATACTAAAACACTAAGTTTCAAAAAAGTGAAGTACCCATTGCCAATATTGATTTTTTTTGTGAAAATTTGATTGAAGTGTGAATTAAAAATCTCCGATTGTCCCTTAAAAATAAATGTTTTAAGCTTAAAACGTAATATTAGTTGTTTGTTTAAAGCTATTTTTGAAAAAATAGAATAGAAAATTAAAATTTTAAAAAGTTTTATTCATGTTTTAAAATTTGTTTTTTACTATATTTCCTACAATAACATGAATGGATAATATTGAAACTTGGTATAAACTTGCAGTAGGTAAATCAAGTACAATAACTTGTCTGTGGAGCTAAATTATTTTGATTTAGGATTTATTAATAAATTATAATATTATTCATTTATTAAAAAAATTAAAAGTTTTCTCTTTTTCTTAAAAGTGCTAACAAAAAACATTCAAATAAAAAATTTGGTTGTTTGAACATAACTAAATTGATTAGTTCTCCCAATCGAATTTTATTTGCTTGGAATAAACATTTTTCTCAGTGTATGACTTTTTTATTAAAAAAGTTAGTAACAAAATTAGAAATACTAATATATAAATTAATTAATGAATATAATTTTTCGTATTCAGGTTAGTTTCAACTGAGGGATCTAAAGAAGATTATTGAACTTGTTTTCCTCGTTTCTGAATCTAATCAGGAAGTGGGAAAATGTCAGAAAATTACTTGAGGTTTTCCACCCCTTCGTTAAACCAGCACTTCATTTTAGGAATCAATAATGAAATTAGTTGTTGATGGATCGTCGGGAATCTGAGATGATATCTAATTTCCTGGTTGACATGTAGATTGGATATAACCATAGTATCCATCTGTTTGTAATCCTTCTTAGGGTCGATTGAATACAAGCTACATTTCAAATATATATTGATCAAGAAATATTGTTAATATTGAGATGTGATTTAATTTATCAGAATTTTCAATTACTTTCAATATATTGTTTCAGTAATTTCCTTCAATCTCATGAAGTATATAAATAATTTTTTAAACTATCAAATAGATAAAAGTTCATAAAAACTATTTTATTTTATATCACTAATTATTAGAAGAAGATGCAAATTATTTGAATTATTTGCAGCATATGAATTATTAAAATGCATTATTTTAAGAATAATTATACAATATTATTTAATAATTGATCAATAGTGATTATTTTCGTTTTTATTACAGTTTAAAATTGTAATTAGACAATGTTGCTTGTTTCAAAAACATTTAGTTTTTGGGTTGTATTAGCATAATAGAGAATGCTCCAAATAGATATACAAAGATTTAGATATTGGAAATTTACTTGTAGTTTCAAATGGAAAGATTAAAGAACTGTTAACTGTTAAGCATAGTACATGGAAATATGAGAATTTATTTTAAGAGTTTTTTTGGAATTCAGAAAACATTTAAAATGAAAAATAATTTGCAGCAAAAACAAAACTTTGTGAAAAAAAATTTTATTTCGGTTTATTTTTAGCGTTTTCTGTTGTTTATTCTTGCAAATAAAAGAATGAGTGAATTTCAAAATTATATCATCAACTATAAGAGTTAAATTCTTATAATTTGTGAACACATGTATATGACCACTTAAAAAATTTGACATAATTTTCTTATAAATTTGAACCAATTAACAAATTATTTAGTTTGTTTCAATCACGAACGTTACTAAAGAAAAATAAAAATTACATAGTACAATTACAATTATTATAAACAATAGGTAAAACATTTATAAAAATATAGCGAAATCTAAGTTTTCAAAATTTCCTCATATTTGCTTAAAAATTGTTACTCAGGGGTTTTCGGGGTTGCTGATTACGAATCTAAAGTTAGATTTTCAAAATTTTTAAAATTCAAAATAGTAGACATTTTTTTTTAAATCTGCCCAAATTCGCTTGAAACTTATTATAAGGGAAGTTTTCGAGGTCCCCATTTGGAATTTTTAAAATCTGACTTTAGATTCGTAATCAGCAACCCCGAAAACCCCCGAGTAACAAGTTTTATGCAAATTTGAGCAATTTTTAAAAAAAGGCGTCGCCATATTGGATCCGCCATTTTGAATTTTCATAATTTTGAAAATCTGACTTTAGATTCGTAATCAGCGACCCAAAAAACCCCTGAGTAACAAGTTTCAACAAAATTCAATCGCTGAGTTTCTCGGGGGCACAAAAGGGCAAAAACATTGCGAACTTGAACCCTACAAATAACAAAATTTTGTATCATTTTGAGTAAGTTTTGGTAAAGTTTGTCCGTCCGCTAAATTTTGGTTTCCTAAAAATTGTCTTCTGATCAATATTTACTTTGTTAACTCGTATAACCTTGAACTTAATAATGTCCAATATTTTTTTTATTTATTGAACCATAAATACCGTATTTTAAAAGCATAAACATACTTCTTTTCAGGAATAAACAGTTTGTTAGTTTAATAAACACGTTGAGAGAAAACGAGAGAAAAAAAATTGTATATATATGATGAAGCGGGGCATGTTTTCAAATGTCTTTTACCTGTCTACTTTTCGCGATTACACTATTTTTGCAAGTAATCGTCTTCGTTGTGTCGGGAAAATCGTTTTCATGATGAAATGCACGCTTGGTTAAACAGTCTGGCATCGCGCGAGGCAAAACTTTTCCTCTGGTATTAGTGTCTGTGTATGTTTGTACGTGAAAAACAAGGTCGACAGCGAAGGAATTTTTAGAGTGATGTAAAGATTTAGACCGGAAACGATTGAATTTATAAAGAGGGCGTTGTTTCAATCAATTGATCTCGCTGAATCGTTTTTCATCGATTATGGTAGTTTTTTGGGACAAGTGATTTTTTACATTCTCATTTTTATTTTTTGGAAGATTAAGAAAGAGGGGTCATTGTGGAGTAAAATGTTACGTTTTATCTAGTGTATGGTCTCATTTCATCTTATCCGTCTGGTTTTATCTCATCTCGTCTGGTTCGGTCAGATCTTCTCTCTCTCTCTCTCTCTCTCTCTCTCTCTCTCTCTCTCTGTTCAACACCCTCTGACGACTCCACCTCGCACCGCCAGTGTCAGTATCGACTGGGATTCGTTGGAGTAGGGGGGTTGGATGAGAGGGGCTGCAAAACAATTGTATGAAGGAGATGAAGAAGGATAGAGATGAAAAGGGGAGTGCAGGAGAGTGAAGATGAAAAGAGAGAAGGGCTCTCGTTGATTTTCGGAAAGACTCGTATGTCGCCGCCTCGAGGTTGCCACATGGTTCTCGTATTAGCAGGAGCGGCACTCGGCCGATATCGGGCGTAACGGTGTCCTGTCGGTGCTGCCACATGGTGCGGTGTTTGCGGGTGTCTAGCAATAAGGGTGGGTCGGGGGATAGAACTGAATCGGTTGCTTTCGGACGAGTTCGCAAGTCATCGCCAGCGTCTCGCGTCGAGGCTTCCACATGGGTTGGTATTGGCTCCCGGGGCGCAAGGTGGTTCGTGCGGTGGGGCTCCAACTGCGAAAACGACGCGACGGTTTGGCTCGGCACAACACCCCCAAAACGGGCTGCGTCGCTACCTAAGGAGGGTTAGTCCGTCGGTTGGACCGGTTCGAGATGTCCTGGGAGTGCCCCGTGAGACTCCCTTTTCTATATAATTACATGACAGTGACGATTGGGGACCGTCTAAAGTGAATCAAAATTCGCTGAAGAATAATAAGTTTTTCCATTTCTCGTTTGGAGAGAAGTGTGCGAGAATTGTTTCAACAACCATGCGGTTATTTGCTATTATTCATGTGTCAGACGAGATAAGTTGGAACCTTAATAAGGATCTAAATTGTTAGAGAGTTTTTTGTTCTTGAAACTGTGGTTGTATTGTGGTGTTGTTGTACCGGTGCTAGACTCCGGTTTGTGTGTCTTCGGCAAGGTGGGCGCTACCGTTTTAAAGGGTAGTAGTCAATGACCTCGGTCTTACTCTACATGTGTGGTGTATAGAACGTATAGAGCTCTCAAGTGTTTACTAATTGTGAATTTACATTTAATTTTTCTTCTTCATTATTGGTTGAATGAGATTGTTTCTGACTAGAAGGAGATTAATTCTTTTGTAGAGAAATTATTATGCCTCTTGAGAGAAGTAGAAGAAGAATGAGGAAGCGAAAATCTGGAAAGTTGTTGGCGTGGAATAGCATAAGAAGCAGGTTGATTTTGCGGCCGGCAACAGAGATGCTTATGGTTGTATATTTGGCGAGATAAGAGTGTGATTTTAAAGCAGAACTTCGAATTGGAGACTAGTGGCAGGCCACCCTGGTGGATTGACATTGTGTTGAGGATTAATAAGGGGTGTTGCCTGGCCATGCAGTAGTGTGTAGCAGTTTCGACGACAATTACGACGTGGGGATGTGCGACGCCAACTGCCAAAGAGGTCGAAGGGGGTTAGCTCTGGGTAAATCGACTCGGTGCACCAAGTCGTGTTCACCGCATAAAACGCCCGGGGTCCGGTAGCTCGTTCATCGTCCTTATTTCTCATCGACGCCCGCGGGCAATGTGCCCACCCGCCGAGAGCGCAACGTAAGTAGTTTATCTCATTCGCTACTTTCTGATACGTCTGCCGTTTAGACCTTGACTTACCCAGATCGACTCGGAGAAGAGGACATTGCTCCAGCGGTTAACGCCTCTTCTTCTCTCCCTCTCTCTCTCTCCCTCTCACCCCTAAAATGTGCGCATGCAGCTGAGTGTTCAACTGAAAGAATTACGATATTTCAAGGAAAAGATACTTTTGATAATTTTAACAGTAAATTAAATACGAAATGAAAAATAATGCAGCTTCATTTTATTTTTCATATCAGACAATACAAATTGCCCTGTGAATTTAATGTCATTTTTACCAGAGGAAGCATTACTTTTACTATACTTAATTAAAATTTTTACTTCCTTCATGTAAATGAATTTTTTATTTCTAATTCTTTAAACTAGTGAATTAAGCAGTTAAATTCTATAGTAATTCATAATTCATAATTCATAATTCATAAAAATAGCTACAAATTTTAAAAAAGTAGTAACTTTTCGCTTATCTGGAGTTTAAGATGGACGGTTTTAGAATAAAAAAGTAGACATTTATTATGGATTTCATTGTTAACGGAAGTATAAATTAATAATCATTTAATTATTCATTTCTACATCTTGTTTTTTCATTTCATTTTTCATGACTTTAAATAATTTAATCTTTAACAATGAAATTATAATAATTAATCTACTTTTTATTGGCATTATATTGTTACGGGGAGGCGCCACCCTCAACTTTGACACCTTTAAATTTTAATTATCAAAGAAGATTATATTTTTTTTCTTGCACCATTTTTAATCCAAAACCATATAGGGTGGGCAAACATTTGAAAATTAAATTTTTAACCCTCGGAGAACACATGGGGTTTAAACTATATTTTTTTAAAATCCTTAGGTTGATCAGATGAACAGTTAAAAATTGGTTGAGCATTGAAAAATGTTCTAAAAAAGAGGTGTGTTCTCCGAAGGTTAAAGAGGTTAGAATTTTTAACTTTTAACTCGTTGCATATTTTTGCAAATCCATGCAAGAAATTGTTTAAAACTATAAAATAAGCTTAGAAAAAAATGTACGTTAAAAAATGTTGAAAATTGTAAGAGAAGATTAATTTTGAATGTTAAAAATTTTAAATTTTTGGCATTTTTCGAAAGCCCTACATCAATAATTTTTTTTCGAAATATGTGTTTACTTAAAAAAAATTTATGCGCTGACTGCAAAAATCAGTTATGTTTGTCGATTGACTCATTTTCAAGGTAAATATTATAAAACACTTACCGAAATAAAAACAAAAAAAAGGTGATTTTAGGTGTCTGTTAAAATTTTAACCTAGTAAATGTGTTATTCGACATGATTTTCGCATTCAGCGCATGAATTTTTGTAAACACACATACTTTCAAAAAGATTATATAGGTGTATAGGACTTTGGAAAAATGTCAAGAGTTTTAAAATTTGAATATTAAAAATCTTCTCTTACAATTTTCAATTTTTTTAGCGTAAATTTTTTTTTTAAGATTTTATAGTTTTAAACAACCTCTCGCATGGATTTGCAAAAATATGCAACGAGTTAAAAGATAAAAATTCTAACCTCTTCAAAAATTTAATTTTCAAATTTTTTACCATCCTGCTTTTGGGTTAAAAATGGTGCAAGAAAACAAATATAACCTTCTTTAATAATTAAGATTTAAAGTAGTCAAAGTTGGGGGTGGTACCTCCCCTTAATTAAATATTCTGTTAACAAATTAATGGAATTTTAAATATAACACATAATTTTGAAACTTACAAGAAATATAAAATTTTATTTTTCTAAAAATATATTTTTACTTTGTTGATTTTTTTGTGGATTTGTTAAGTATTCACTCGTTTAATTTCACTTTTCTACTATCAGTTAAAAAATAAAATATAATTGATCATCATTGCGGTTTAATTCGGTAATATTTGCCAATTAGTAAAATTATTTTAAACAAAAGATTAAATACCCCTCTCGAAAGTTTATTTTGAAAATAAAAAAATTCTTTTTTTCGTAATTGTTTAATTGTCGATATTAATGGTATAGTTATTGTGTATTTTTCACCTTGAAATAATCAGTGAACAATTGTTTTAAATAATAGGTCAAAAATATGGTAATTCCGTATAGTCGATATAGGTTAAAAACTGATATTGATTGACTATTGGTTTAACATACCAAACGTTCAATCAACTACAATTTTCGCAGCATATATAGAAGAAAAATTTTCAACAGAATTATTTTTCATTTCATTAATGTTTGTTTATAATTTGAACATTGCGTTTTTCTCTATTGAGTGATTAATTTCCATACAAAGTGAATGTTCTATTAATATAAAATGCGTAAAATAAAACCATTACTGATATTTAATTATTTTATAATTTAGTTTTGTTTACAAGTAAAATATGGTGTATTAACGATATTTAAAAAATTACTGATTTAAAGTATAAAATAACTTTTAAATTTCATGGTAAAATATTTTTTATTTGAAAGAGAAAATTACTCTTTAAATCTAAAAAAGCGTGAAATTTCACTGATTCGTTAGCGCATAATTATAAGCTAATTGGAATCTGTGGTATGTACTTATCGCTGGGAATCAGTGAAATTTTTCTAAATCATATTTAGAGAGTAAAAACCTCGTATAACCACATTTTGCTTAAGATCGTTATTCGTTTATAATAATATTAGATTTGTATACATGAAATATGCTCTGTTTTGTTATACGTCAATTGTTTATAGATTGCCTACAATTTTCTATATAAATATATTTATATATTATCTAGTATTTGTGGTGAATAGTTAAGATGAGAGTTTGGTTCGGTTTTAGTTGAAAAATTGAATTATTGAGAATATACATTGAAAAGATTTCATATATATTGTTATATTTGTAGTTTTTCTAACGAAGAGAAGCGTTCATGCATGAAAACAAGTTAATCAATATCAGAATGTCTATCATGTTGCTTTTCACCACAGTTTTATGTGAGTTACCCTCAAGCTATAAATGATTGGTCAGTTAGGTCAAACTTGCACGTGAAAAATATAACTTTGAGTCGATATATTAAAAGTAACCCATTCATTTGAAAACATTCGTTTTTATTTGCTGAGTTTTCTGGTTGTGGAAAAGTTCATTTTGTTAGTAATATCTTTATTGAAATAATCATTTTTTCAAATTGAACATTTCAAATCGCTCCATACAGTTTACTATATTGGGATATGAAATTGAGACAAAAAACTTTATCAAAATTTTTGCTTTGCAATGTTTTGATGGTAAAAAAAATTTACAAAAATTAACTTAACTTCACGGAGAAAAATAGATTATACAATTAGGATTATAGAAAATAAGATCATACTGAATATAATCTGATTAATGCCCTTTATAATCTATTATAGTTCAATATACTTTTCAATATTTTCAATAAACTTTTTCATAATGTGATTTTTAAACTTTTTATACTAAGAGTTTAATTGTAATTTTTTATTAATTAATTAGTTAATAAATGTTTATAATAATTTGTAATAAATAAAAAATTAATGAATTATTTGCTTATAAAAATTATATTATAAGTAGTAGTTAATTTTAATTAAAAATTTAATTATAGTAATCAATTTAGTTTTTAATTTACAATGCTACAAATTAAATTACTAAAAAGTTATAATAAATAAAAAAACATCTAAAATGTTTAATTAACTGATATTTTTTTTATAAAAGAGAACATTTTGAGAAGAAAATTTCTACAAAATGTCAGTATAAATGACTGACAGTATTCTAACTGTATATAGATACAGGCATTAAAGAAATGCCCAAAAACCCCGCCATATTGGATCCGCCATTTGGAATTTTGAAAAACTGACATCGGATTCGTAATCAACGAACCCAAAAACCTCTGGATATCTACACAGAGAAAAGCGAGTGTTGTTTTTGATGCGGGTAAATTTTGGTAGGGTAATTTTAGTGAGGATAAATTTTCTATAATAGAAAATTTACCTTATTTTCAGTGTTAAAATAACACTTCCGAGCTAAAGTTTGATGCAGACACTTTTAACACCGAATTCAGTGTTAAAATAACACTCACTTTTTTCTGTGTAGTTTCATGAAAAATTAATATTTTTTTATTAAAAGACTAAATTTTTCAGGGTTGTTTTGACAAAGCTTGGATTTGTTAAATCAACCCAGAGATCATAATTGAAATGATTTGGAATTCTTGTTAATAATAAACACAAAAATTTTCACAAAAATATTTTTTATTAATTTTTTTTTTGTGCTAAATAGAAATTTTATATTGTTTTATAGTGTTTTTATGGTGTTTTATAGTTTTAGGCTTCGGAGCGTCAGGTCGATGTATCGATCCTCATGAGCGGTAAGAATTTTTCAAATGTTTGTCAAATTGCGTTTAATTTTAAAAAGACGATATTTTAATCCCTAATAAAAAAATTTTTTATTTTAATTATGACAAGGGATTAATATTTATAACTTTTCCTCAAAAGTGTTTTCATTATTTGCAAAACATTAATATTGTGTCTCGTATGAATAATTATTTATTAGATTTATGGGTTAGGATTGATTTGTCAAAATTTTATTTATTTACTAAAGAAGACCAATTCGACGCCTCCTGATGAGATATAATGTTATTTCAAACGTCAGTTCAGTATAAATCTATCTCAAAAACAAGTGCGAGATGAAGTTAACTCACATATTAATAAAAGCAGACAATTCTATTTCATTCGTCAGTTCAAAATAATGCTATCTCAAAATCCAGTGCGCAACAAAATGACAACTATAAAGGTAGCGTTCAATTTAATTTCCTCTCGAAATATGTGTTATTAATTATAATTATTTCATTCCAATTAATATATTTAAATACTTTTAATTAATCAATATATTCAACAAATTTTAATCGAATTTTCACTCATTTAACCTGGTCTCAAAATAGTCATGTTTTACAATTTCATACAAAATTTCAGTACAATAAATGTAATATTTCGAACTTTTTGTCGAAGTGACGA